AACCGCCAAACTTCCCACTCTCCCCATCACCTTTGCCGGCCTCCCGGGGCCTCGCATTTCTGAGAGGCTGCCCGGGAGGCCGGCAAAGGTGATCCCAGGTGCGCGGGGAGCCCAGGTCTTTCGGGGGGCACACCCGGGGGTCAGGCTACGGGGCGGGCATGTCGTGCTCGGCTCAGCACCTCCAGTCTGGCCACATCCTGTCCTCGGGTCTGGGTGCGTGGGGCTCACCCTGTGGGGCTCACCCTGCGGGGCCGGGCGGCGAGAAGGGGCACCTCCCTCATCTCACCCAGATGGCACCGCCAGCCCCGGCCTGGGACACACCCGCCCACCTCGGGCGCATTGCGGGGGCTGGAGGGGAGCTGGAGACATGAAAACCTCAGCAACGGAATTTGGGACGAAACGCGGTCTAATCGGCATAACACGGGGTGTTCAGTCTTTCTCATTTTTGCCATCCATCCTGGGTGTGTGTGAGTGTGCGTGTGTGAGTGTGTGTGGGTGGGTGTGAGTGTGGGTTAGGTGTGTGTGTGTGTGTGTGTATGTGGGTTAGGGGTGTGTGTGTTTGTGTATGTGGGTTAGGTGTGTGTGTGTGTGTATGTGGGTTAGGTGTGTGTGTGTGTTTGTGTGTGTATGTGGGTTAGGTGTGTGTGTGTGTTTGTGTGTGTATGTGGGTTAGGTGTATGTGTGTGTATGTGGGTTAGGTGTGTATGTGTGTGTATGTGGGTTAGGTGTGTGTGTGTGTATGTGTGTGTATGTGGGTTAGGTGTGTGTGTGTGTATGTGTGTGTATGTGGGTTAGGTGTGTGTGTGTGTATGTGTGTGTATGTGGGTTAGGTGTGTGTGTATGTGGGTTAGGTGTGGGTGTGTGTGTGGGTTAGGTGTGTATGTGTGTATGTGTGTGTATGTGGGTTAGGTGTGTGTGTGTGTGTGTGTGTGTATGTGGGTTAGGTGTGTGTATGTGGGTTAGATGTGTGGGTGTGTGTGTGAGGTGTGTGTATGTGTGTATGTGTGTGGTGTGTATGTGTGTGTATGTGTGTGAGGTGTGTGTATGTGGGTTAGGTGTGTGTGTATGTGTGTATGTGTGTGTGTGTGTGTGTGTGTGTGTGTTTTTAGGTGGGCATTGATGTATAAGATTTTGGGGTGTGTGGGGTTTTGTAGGATGGAATTTGGGGTTCGTGCCAATTAAGTTTCATTCGCGCCAATTTTGGTTTTCATGTTCCATTTCCTCCTTTGGTCTCATGGTGACAGGTGGTGGGACCCGAGCGAGGGCGAGGCTGGGTGGCCACAGTTGTTAGGGGCCGTTTAACACAGAAAGTGCCCAAGGGTCTTGCATGAGCAGGAGGTGGCTGGGAAGCAATGACATGCCCACCTGAAAATTTGGGGACCCCTCCTTTCTCCTGGATGGTGAGGAACTCGAGTCCATGGCCAATTTGACTCGGGGTCCAAAGGGGAGGAGAAGGAGGGGTGGGGGGGGCCGAATTCGTTTATTTTGCCAATTGTTTTTAAGCCAATTAGTGTTTTAGTATGTTTTAAGCCAATTGATTTTTTNTAGGCTTTTCAGGTGTTTTTAAAAAGCCAATTAGTTTTAAGGGGGCTGGTATGTGTGTGTGAGTGAGGGGCTATGTGTTTTAAATTTTGTTTTGTAATTTGGGGGGAATAATTTTGGTTGAATAATTTTGGGGGATAATTTGGGGAAATAATTTTGGATGAATAATTTGGGGCGATAATTTG